AAACACAAAGTTTATTCGCAGTTTGGCGTTTGCTCCAATCATAAGGCCTCATTTAGCCGTGTGACTCCAATCATAAAGGTCGCATGCATTTAAGGTTATACATTTAGCCGGAGTGATGTAGACCGGTGCGATTTTCGCATCTCCTAATCGGCTGGCCAGACTGAATGTTCTGCACAAGAAAATTTGATTACAGCTAGCAGGAGTTGTCAACGACATGATTGTAATCTATCGTATGTAAACATCACTTACCTGCACTTTCAACAGTTGCAAAATAGGCAAAGAGAACAAGCGCACAAGCTTTGATCAACGCACTCAGAGACATTTTCCTGCTCTCGTTAAATGTCATATTAAACAGGGAATCAAACGCTACATTGTATTTTGTGAACTGTTCAAATTCCTGCCGGATGTCGAAGTCCAAGGGGCGTGTTATTTGATGCAAATTGTTAGTAGGTTTGATTGTGACGTATAGGTCAACGTTTGTCTTGCTATGACACGAAAGTCGTGAGCTTGCCAGCAGACTGAATTAGTAGACCGCCCCTTTTAATTTCCAGCCCCCTAATTCAGTCTGTGAGCAGGCTAGCAAATCTGGCTTTCCCTGATTACTTGCCCGGCGATTAAGCCACAACCATGCAATCACCAATGTTGATAAAAACACGCGCGTAAAAAACAAAGAAGCGAGACATGCGAGACATTGGCCATGCATATTCTGTGGTCCCAAAATAGCGTTGCCATTCTTACCAGTTACGACGCCTTCAAATGATGCAATTAAACCAAGCTAAATATCTTGGTACAGTAATAAACCTCCGTAGCCGTAACTAAACTACTAATCATTTTTTTTACTCATGGTGTAAATCACATGGCTATTATATTGTTTTCAAACAAGAGAAAGTTAAATGCAGTTTAAAATAAAGAAAATTAATGATGTATCAGGTTGACATTTTAATGGTGATTTCGTGAATAACTCCCCTCTATATGAAACTCGCGATATTCTAAATATTTAGCAAAGCAGTAAATTCAGCTTGGCCTATCCGTTAGTCTAATGCTGGGCAAAATTTAATGCTTGAACGACTACGTACATATACTCGATCAGCCGTTCAGACATAAAAATTTATACGGGTAAACGTGACACATACTGATTTTCGAACACACCCTGCCACATTCAAACAGCTGCATGGCACGAAAGCCTGCAAATCTAGTTTACCTGAATACTGCCCGCCGATTTCACCACTAGCATGCAATCAATATATGCTTCTATAAAGATTGATTGTTTGAGGTTGCCCTCCCACAGTGCTCGAATAATAGCGTAGTGTACCAATATTCAGTTATTAACGACTTTAGTGTTTAAGTTTTGATACAGATTACAACTATTATATTACATGACGAATCACTACACGGCAAAAAAAATTGTCGCAACAGGAGTGAACAATAATGTGCTAGAGCCCATGAACATGTGTTTTTAACAATGCTGTTGCCATGTTGAACCTTCTCGAACCATCAATGTTGCTGCATGCATGATTAATATTGTTTATTACTTGTGGGCCATTCACACAGACCCCCAGACAGGTTTTTACAATCAACTCTTATGTCTCTATTATGAATTCAGCTAATATCAGACTGGGTGTAAATGCAAACGGAAATTTACACTTGCACACCATCATGCAATATCATCGCCTTCCACTTATTTTTCTTACCTCCCGCCATTTTGTATTGAATAACGTGTCTATATATGATTCTGCTCCGCTGGCATTTTCTTTTCAGTAAACCAAGTTAAGTAGTCTAAATGCATTAATAAACCTCCGAAAGGCGTAACGGACAAAGATGGGGCTCTTTGGTATATTTGTACTTTCGTTTTCCGGACATTTTGTTTTAAATACAAAACTTAGGACGCGTAGAACTTCATGCAAGAATTACTAAGAATAACTTAGTTATGTTCGTTATATAGAGGTAATAGAACGTGGATAATAGAATGGAAAATTCAGCCACCATGGTCGATGGATGTTCCATTATTTGATCTACCATCATTAATGCTGCATTTTCTTTGCAATCAACCTCATACCCTGGGCCTATCTTTGGCATAACCATTTTTTTTAACCTGAATTTTTTTATGTGATACACTGACACGCCGTTTTTCTTTAAGAATCGTGGCGATAGACGGCAGTCAGTGGGGGGCCCGACTCGTTAATATATGTCCTAAAACAATCACAATAGCTATTATACAGTAATAATTACCATGCACGGTTTTTCCTCTTAGAACTGTATAGAACTACTAGAACGTACTATAAAAGTCAAGCTTGATTTAGAATAAAAGTTAAGGTTATTGCGTACGAGATATACAAAGTGTCTCAAAAAACGCACTGGTGAGCGTGAACTTTGCGAAGAAGAGTCATTTTAGACAAAAGAACGATGTTTTTGCTTTTGGAATATTGCACTGTTTGTAATATATATCGAAGAAAATTGGGAACACTAAGAATTTTACCTCTGCGTGCACGAAGGTAGACAAAAGAAAACCAATTTTAAAATAACAATTATATAAAAGCTAGTTTCAACTTCCATGATTATTAAAACGCGTTTATAATCCCTGCAAGATATCAGCAAGAGATACAAGAAAACAAAAGCCCTTTGACTGTTGTATTTAGCGAAAGACGGAATCCTGCTTTGGAGTAATTATCCTGTCAAATAATTCTACATAAAAACTCGTGATATTGATGTAAAGCTGAACTACTGTAGTGGTATTTGGCAAAACTTATGAGACTTATGACATGCGCTGGAGATTTTCGTTTACAAATTATGCCGGCAAACGCCAAACTGCTGATGAACTGCTACACGGGAAAATCATTGTCTTGTTGTCGCATCAGGAGTGAACAATCTTGTGCTATGTCAATGAGCCCATAGACATGTGCTGTTAACAATGTTGTTAAAACCTTGTTCGACCATCAATGATGCTGCATGAATATTAACAATTTTGTAACAACAGTTGATGGTTCAATAAAATTCAACAATTATTTGAGAATAATGTTGTTCACAGTGTGCAGTGCGACATTGTTTACTCTTCTCCTAAACAACTCCACTTGTTTAAAAGACTTTCACGTGCGTTCATGGAAACGGAAATTTACACTTACACAAAACCATTAATAGCATAGAATTTCATTTTGCTTACGTAAGTGCGTATAATTACGCTTAATAAAATTTTCTTGAAATAACGATAAAAACTTGAGTTGTGCTGAAAAGTAAAAAAACGGAAAAAAAATACTAGACTTACTTTAGTAAACATGCATAATGAATTCTTACTTTTCCCATTAAATCTTAAATAGCCAAAAAGTTTTCAGAACCTCAATTGCCTTAGCATTCAGTGACTTCATTGAGTTCTTCTTGGTTTATTATGGTACTATTTTCTACTACGATAAACTAGGATGACAAACTGAGTTGTGCTAAAAAGTGAAGAAAAAAATATATACTAGACGTACTATAGTTAAAATGCATATTAATGAATTCTCGCTTATTTCAGTGATATCTAAAACAGCGTTAAATGATCACTGTTCAATGATCACTTTTTCAAAACCTCAATTGCTCTAGCATTCGGTGACTTTATTGAGTTCATCTTGGTCTATTAGCTCACATCTTTCATCACTCAATTTGACAGTTTTGCTAACAGCTGATCCTTGATTCTTATTGTCGTCACCAATTCCAGAATGTAAATGGTCTTTTGACACCAACTGTAAATTTTCATTTTCAGGGAATGCTCTTTGCGATCGTCTACGTCGTCTTCGTATCAATATTACCAGCAGTATTATTCCAAGTAATAAAATTAGACCAACGATGATGTAAGCAAAGTTCGGAAAAGACGAAAATTTGTTTTCAGGTGATCCTGATTTCCGCTGGAGGATGTCTTCTTCTGCTGGTAATAAAATAGTGGAAATATCAAAGCACGTCTCCAAATACTTTTCAATTTTTTTGAATACAGAAATAAAAATACCTTTCAAAATTTCAGCATTTGGCTCCTAACAAATTCCGTGCATGTATAACTAATACTAAATGTACGGTCTAAATTATTAACATTGATTGTTAAAAATAGATACCTTCACAATTATGCCCATCTCCTGTGAAGCCCTCTTTGCATCTGCACTCAAACGATCCATTTGTGTTTAAACAATCTGCATTGGAATCACATGACACCTCTTGTTCGATACACTCGTTAATATCTGGAATAAACGTGATACTTTTTGAAAAATTTTGAAAAATTGAACATTGAAAAATTTATCAACACTGCTAATTGTATACGGGAAAAAAATTTAACAGAACGTTACAACGTATTTTAGAGAAATGGAATCCGGATCATTCAATCTGGAGTGGACTATTCTCCTATTACACTAGTACTAAATTTGAAACTAGGAATGGTTGGAAACACCATACCAAATTTGAAATGTTTCATTTGAAATAAATGAGTGAGCATGCAGGTTATAAACTTCGTGACAGATATTTCAATGGCATAAATACTACTCATACAATAATTATTCCAAAGAAGAATATTGCCCGAGCCGGGCGAGGGCACCGATTTCGCTGAGAGATTAGGAATTACACCGAGGTATTGTGACACTGCATGTGTTGTGTTTCGCACTGTTATAGCAGGAGCATGTAAAGTGCTAACCTTCGCAACTAACTCCGTCTCCTGTGTAAGCATGATTACATATGCACTCAAAACTTTCAACTGTATCAATGCAACGAGAATTAACACCACAGTTGTCCAAACTTCGAGAACATTCATCTATATCTATGTAAATATAACAGAGTAGAATATATTCTTTCTAATATTACAAAAAAAGGAAGCATGGGAAGCGACGAAGTACTTTTATATCCGCTATATATAAATTTCGGTTAAATAATGATTGCCCATGCATATACGACATTAACAAAGGATAAATTCTAAACCTTTTTATATATTTCAACAGCAAATTATTTAGCAAAAACAATGCACAAAAATAAATGAAATCTTAGAATGTCACCTTTTAAACATTCAACAGCAGCGAATTCGGAATTGCTACATGTATGGTTTGTCCAGCCGTCGTGTGAACAACTGGTTATATTTTTTTCATTACCAGTACAAGATATTTTTCCCAACCACATAGCTGTTGAAACGTTTTGTTGTGTTTGACTTTTAAGAACGTTTAAAACATGATCATAACCAAGTTCTCGACACACAACCTCGGCAGCATTCCTATCCCAGCCATCCCCACAGACTGCTCCCCACAGTCCATCGTAGAAAACCTCCACGAGACCAGAACCATTAAAACTTGATGCCCCTTGTAACCTGACAGACATTGCTAATAATAAAGAAAAAGTGAAAAACCCTTAGCGCAATTGAATTTCGCTTAAACTTCTCAGGGACCCGATTATTTTGTGAAGCCACTTCCCTTTGTTGTAATAGAAGTAATATTCACAAATACCCGTAAATACAGGGTCGACTACGTCACTATTGGGTCACACATAATATAGTCAAAATGTATAACGCAAGTTTGCAATGGATCAATATATAGTTTGTATAAGATATCATGCAGAGGCTTTGCTGTTTACCACGGCAAGCGGATCCATTCCAAAAATATCCCTTGTCACAACTGCAAAAATACGATCCAGCAGTGTTGGTGCAATTTGAGCTAGGCAGACATTTGTCCAATGATAAAGAACATTCATCGATATCTAAAGAATAATAATAATTATTCAAATTAGACCGTAATACGTCAAAAACAATCGCTAACGTACCGATTTCAACTCATTGTGAGCATTGCAAAAACCTACCATTGCAGATCAAACCATTTCCTGTATAACCGGTTTTACATTGACATATGAAACTTCCCCAAGTGTTAATACACCTAGTATTAGAGGCTAGACATTGCCAATCGTTCTGACATTCATCTATATCTGCGAAGAATAATGAAACCAGAGCATCAAAAGAAATTTTTAATGGTTGCACACATTGGATGGTTTGCATAACTCCTCATCAAAGTTATCATGGACAATGATACCTGTTGAAGTACATTCTATTCCAGCATCTCTTCTATAGGAGCTGACATAACCCCCATCTTCTCGAATGTGGCGAAAACAACTAAACAGACTTTGCTCATACCCAATACAATGAACCTCGTATAACGAAATCCGCCTGGAGGGAAATGGAGCGCGCCTCCTTTGAAAAGCTCTAACAGCATACAAATAGCCAAGTTGACGACATGCAACAAAAGCATCATATATATTCCAGTAATAATCACAAATTCTTCCCCATTTTCCATTATTGAATACTTCCACAAGACCAGTTCCATTTAAACTTGATGGTCCTATTAATCTGATATATTTTCCTGCAAAGGAATCAAGCCTGTTTTCGGAATTATAACGTATTATGAAGGATTTATCACGTTCGGCATTTTATCTGAGCAATTTTTTTCAGTTATGAATAGAGAAACGTGTGTTATCAATGGACGACTTGCGTTTTAGACTAATTTCTGAGCGAAGTAACTAGGAGAAAATAAATCATCACAGTTAGGAGGGTCTTACTTAAGTTAGTGCAAATGCAAAGTTTGGCTGCAAAATTTTGTAAAGGACGGGTAATATAGCCATGCGAAGTTGGCAAATTTAGTATGCTTTTGTATTACGTGTGGAAATGTGCAAATCAACTAATTCGCAGCCAAACTTGACAGTTTTACTAACTTTATCAAGCACTTTTAGAAAATATACTTTTTATCGCCGAAGTAGGAAATTAGTCTAGTCACCTACACTGCACTGTGGTTTTGTTGGTAATTTCAAAATAATTTTAAAGTTAGTTAATTAAGCTGTAAAACGATAGCAAAATATGTAGCATATAAATCAATCTACAATTATAATATGCTTTAAATATCAAGTTGCGAATTTTTTACCTTTGCAAGAAGTTCCATTTCCATCTTCTTGATCATCACAAATACATCGATAAGATCCGTCCGTGTTGATGCAGCTTGAATTGGGAAGGCAGTTGTCAGTAGATAGAGAACATTCGTCTATATCTAGAACAGATGCATGTGCTATAGATTGTGAAATTCATGAATAATTAATGAGGTGTATACCCAATCAAATTACGTGAATTAGGACATATTCACATGCTGTTTACACAAAACAAATAAGAGAAACAAATATGCAAATCAGTTACAACCCTTTTATCGAAAAATACAACAACTATTCTTTTCACGAGTTGTTTAAAACACTCGCGGCCGGGTTGTATTGAATATACAATAACTCGCGCCCATTACTTACTATATTGATAAGGCTAGCTATAGAAATAATAATATAATCTGCTTAACTTAATAAAATTATATGTCTTTTTTATTTCCTTTGTTAATGCAAAAATGAGCAGCGTGTAACGATGAAATTTGCTGAAGCCATTGTTTTTTAGATAGTCGCGATGTTGGCTTAGACCTTCATTAGCTTTTTATTGATTCATTCAAGAACCTCGCTAAGACGCCAACTAACATTAAAACTGGGTTTGTTTATTTAATTAGATCCCACTACGAACGTGAATGACTAACCAGTGCAATTAATGCCACTTCCAGTATAACCTTCATTACACTCGCATGAAAAACCACCAACAGTGTTAATACACCTGGAATTTTTGTCGCAGTTGTCCATTTTCAAAAAACATTCATCGATATCTAGGAAAAGAATAATTTAAACTTTAATAAATTTAATTAATTTGATAATTATACAGTTGATTTTCTCAAGCTTGTTATTGTTTTGGTGAATAATATTATTATAATAATTATATTTAGCACTCCCATACATACGTTTTTTTACAATTATTATTGTTAAATACCTAGTGTCAAAATTCCTCTTTTCTGCTTCCCTATTGGACAAGGGGTCCACGCGTAGAGGGCTTTAAAACTCCATGATTACGCGTGATCAACACGATATTGTTTCATAATTATACTAATCAATATACATGCAAGTAATACCTAGGAATCGACTCTCGCCGTGTTTACTGCTTATTAAATTACATGTTCATTAGAAGCTCAACCTTCCAAAACACTTCTGGACGTTTTCACCTTAGGGCCTTTGCCAGGAGAGTTAGTATGAGCGAGACGAGAGGTCGAAACGCGTTTTGGTCTATTTTAGGCAGTTATTATACATTAAACATCATGTTATACCACTTGAACTTTGGAAGGTCGGGTGCTTATGGGAAAGACCTTTTTTATACACTTTTTTACCCTATTTATAGCTTCAAATAGCCTGTAATATGCACGTGTTCACTAATGGTTTAAGTTGTGTATACCGGAATTTAATTTTTAAATGGTGAATCGTTTACGTCTTCTCAACGTTGATCTTACACGAGAATTTCTAACAATAAAATAATTAAAAGCAATGTTACCGATTTAATTATGATAAAATATTCTTAACAATCACCTAATTTCAGTGACATCTTGTTCTCCGTGTCACAAACACGCAAACCAGCGAACGCTTCCATGTTAATGAAACTACCATATTGCCAAGGAGATAGACACAATCCCAAAACACGATCCATTGAAATAGCTTTTAAATGTCTCGTGGTAGAATTGTAAAACCACCTTGGTCTTACATTTGGTCCATCACAATCGTGCGTAAGGAGAACAGCCTGCCATGTCCTTGGATTATGAAAACATTTTCCAGTCTCCAATTCCTGCAGAACGTTTTGATTAATGAAACGAAAATGGCCAGGTGTACGAGTCCATGAAAAGTCAAGAAAATCGACGTTTTGGTATGTATAACGGTACAAATATCCAAAGGTGTCTGAGCCAATAATGTACGTATTGTAGCCGGCAACTAAACAAAAAAAGGATATTGCGGTGGTTTTTGATTTGGTGACTCAATCACCCAATTGTGATTCAAATGGATGGTGAAAAAGTCTACCATTTTGAAGCTTTTTCAGAGTGATCTTTGAGCTGGAAAATGGATAGTTTTAAAACGGGTATATCATTTAAAGCACGTATTTTTTAACTAAAGTTTGATGTGTGGGTTCATCAGCATGCAAATGTGGCTTATATGACAATTCTTTGAAGTCATTAATCAATTTCGTTTAAAATTATTTGAATTGAGAAGGTAATCCGGTTAAAATATTTCAATTTTTTTATTTTTCATATAAAATATGAAATTTCTAAAATTTAAAATAGCTATAGGTAACTATTCGTAGCACATTAACAGTTAAATTTGATAGTTTGAGTCAATTGTGAATTTAAAAAAATATTTTACTTATATGACTGGCAAGTCAATTATTGAATAGTTACGAGAACAAATGCTTTCACTTATACAACAAAAACTGTAATAGTCGTGCTACCAGAAAATGAACTGCATTTTACAATAACGTTTCATTCCTGGAAGTATAGGTAATTTTGCGTAGAAGTACTGATTGTAATTATAATAGCTATAATATTTTCACCTGTTGTAATACATTCTACTCCAGCATCTCTGAAATGGTCACAGTAACTGTCTCCCAGCGCCAATTGATGCGCACAACTGTTCAGATTTGGTTCTTCACCAGTACAGCCAACCTTGTTCAGCCATATCTGACCAGACCCTGATGAAACATGTTTGCCTTGAAGAGCTCTAACAGCGTTGAGATATCCAAGTTCCCGACATGCAACCCTGGCATCATTAAAATCCCATACGTCATCACAGACTGTCCCCCAGGTCCCATTGCGGAAAACTTCAATACGTCCAACACCTTTTGAACTTGATGGACCTTGTAACCTAATATTTCCTGACTGAACTGTAAAGAAGAGAAACATTTCGTTGCAAAATAACAGTATTTTCTAATTATATTGAACGTTAAAAATTGTAATTCGACAAAATTAATCACAATTCTTGACTACCCTGGCAAGTGGTTCCATTTCCAGCATGTTGATCATCGCATGTGCATAGATAAGATCCGTCGGTGTTGGTACAATTTAATCCTTGTAGACAATTGTGAGCAGACAAAGCACATTCATCTATATCTGAAGACATACAGGATATAATTGTTTATTATGAATTATTATGTGTATAGAGATTCATGGAAAGTAGAATGATGAAATAAAAATCTTATTTCACTGGGTAATTAATTTCATGCAATTTTATTGCACGTACGATATTTTTCAGGTGTGAAGAAATGCCATACACGGATTTTGATTGAACGTAATATATTCTTCACACGCGAAAAATTGTCGTATGTCATTTTGGCGGTAGTTTTGTTTACATTTTTTCTTCAAGATGGTGTCGAAATATAGGAGTGAGATTCAAACCATAATTCTCAAGTTCAAGACATTTTCACATTCAGCACATTATGAACTATTTCGGAAAAAATATCTAACTTTTCTTCAATGAAATTACAAAGAAACTGAACGGTAATAAATATGTTGTGATTCATGAAACTTCGATTTTTGTTGCCTGCTGTGTTTTTGTACATATATCTAAAAGCATATCGTTGTCAAATTGATCTCAATACACATTTATTAAACGAATTACTTCATGGTTGGCTCGTTTGTTAGATTTTTATTAGACTGTCATTGTGAAGGATCGCAAACCGGTACTTTGGCATAAGAATCGTGCGCACTAGCCAACTATGAAGCGAACTCTATTTACTTATTGAAGAGTGTTTCTCGGCAGCTATCAATTCTATCCAACAGAAATATGTTTTCTGAGGTAGGTCGGAGAAATCAAATGCAGGAATA